AAAAAAAAAAAATTCCGTTAGCAATGACCGACCTCCATACCATGAGGTAACCTGTGTCCTTGACTATAACTCATCCTGAGTTGTCTCGTGGCCATGCCGCCGCCACATTGGCTGCTCCAATCAGCAGTAGGAACTGGGGTCCGATAAAACTTTGATGAAGTCTTGTTGAATATCGGTAACAATTCGTTGGCCTCGTTGGAAAGTGCCTTTAATGAAAGAGAAAAGAAAAGAAATTTGAAAAAGAATCTCTCTCTCTCTCTCTCTCTCTTAACAAAATATAATACTATAATTTATTATTTCTATATTCGTGTATTTTTGGAAATAGTAATAAAAAAAAAAAAAGAAAGAAAAATAATTACCTTGAGATAAATAATCGTATCGGTACCATAACCTTCGCAGCTTAGCAAAACGATGTCACCGTGAAAATACCTAGCATACAAACGTGATAATGGAAGACCATAACCATAACCAGCGAGAGGGACAGTATGTGCATCAGCCTTGCTTGGCTGTGGTGCTGTACTATACATGTACTTAAAAAGATGATCCGTGTGCGAACGAGGTATCCCACCGCCACGGTCAGATATCTAATAAAATTCGATAGTTGTTCACTAAGCCGATCTCCTTCGATATATTTTACATATATATCTCAATTATTTTGTAGTCACATAGTTATCTATATAACTATGTATATCTCTCCTAAACTTTAATCACCTTCACGCATATATCCTCTTTTCCGCGTACAACCGTCACATCGATCGGGTAATAATTGTCAGATTCCGATCCGTGATATTCCATAACTGCTCTCATACTATTTTTGAATAATTCAAATAGCATGTGATACAGATGACTCGGTACGTAAACTATTCGTATTTCATTTCCTCGTTCAAGTTCTGAAAAAAATAATATTTGTAACGGTTACGAGATTAATATTGTTTTTTTATCTTTTCCTATCGATCATCAATTATATTATTTTATTTCATTATCGATTATCTAGTAGTTAGGTTTTTTTTTAATATTATTTTTACTTTTGATAAAATGAATTTACTATACCTACTGAAAAAAAAGGAAATAAATAATAACATATGACCTATATGTCGATAAACACTTACTGCTACTTTAGAACAATCAACATTTTTCAAACTTGCCGTTATGTTGCTTCACATTCAACGCCGGACTAGCCAGATAATATTGATCGCATAGAAACTGTGCATTCTCGTAGGCGTCTTTGATAACGCTAATAACATCACAGGATGGATCTATACATCCTATATGTCTGCTATGACCGTTTAATATTCCACCAAAAAGTAAAGCTTCAATGAAACACAATAATTTACGTTAACGAATATATACATTTATTATCGTACAAACGTAGTGACAATATTAATTAATCAAATAAAAATGATAATATAATAAACTTACTGTGTTGATTGATAAGCATACGGATCGAAATTCTAGACATGAAAAATCTATCGAGGAAATACTGGATGCTGTTTTCCGTTTGAACGTCAACGTCGTAAGAATCCTTCAATTCAAGAACACCCTGTGACATGGTTTGAACGACATCGCTATGCCTGTTTCTTATTTTGATCAATGCTTGACAAAATCTAAGAAACAAATGGAAATTTTTCATCGAATTTAATTTGAACGTTAATTAAATTAAAAAAATAATAATAAAGAGAAATAAAAATTAATATTAATTAGTAATAATAATAATAACAATAATAATAATAATAATAATAAACTCACTTATCCAAAGTACTTTCGTTTACTTCGGATTTTTCGAAATGTATTATTTCTTCGAACGAAGTGACGTATAAATTATTGACCATTACAACGCTAGGTGTTTTTAATAAATTATCGGGTAACAAATGTATTTCTTTCATAATATTAGCGAGTCGTACCGGTAGCTCCTTCCTTAAGAATATAAAAGACTTCCTTTCGCATGCGCTTAGTCCTGAAACATAAATTCCAAATGATTACATTTCATTATATTTATCATTACGATTAATATTTAAAAAAAACAATGTAAAAAAATCTTTTTGAATTACGAGTATTAGATTATTTGTTCCTACTCGTTTCGATTGCATTATCAAAATTTATTATCAATGTTACAACAATAAATTCAAATACATATCTTTATTTGTACGCTTATAACAAGCAAACACGGTTTCTTTGTTAGAAACAGTACGGATATGTCGTAAGAAAAATAAATACAAATATGTTTTTGGTGTTATCTCATTTTATGCATGATGTTTAATACCAATTGTCTCTATATTTTGTCTGATAGAAAACAGACGATAATAATTAGAAATAATTGGATCATTTAAATACCATTAACATTTTAATATTGTATTATATTATTTCTATTATTAATCATAGATAAATTTTTTTTTTAACGCGTGCGCGCGCGATTAAATGATTAAATACTTGTCCTATTATTTCTCTTTTAATTCATAGTAAATAATATATATATATATATATATATCATACACAAACGTGTTATAAACTTTTGTTAGGGATACATACATATGTGCGTATTCATATCCTTACATGATTTTATATATAAATAGATAAAAACTTTATCATCTATCACGAGTACCAGATATCGTTATCTAAAGTAATTATAACACACAACACATACGTATACGTATGTATATATATATACATAAAAGGATTTTAGGTCGATCGAAAACGTCAATACACTTCGATATCTTGCAAAACAAAGTGTATCACGAGAAGAAAACAGCTGTTGGGATTTGTCAGTTTTATAGAATAGAAATTTGATCCAAACATTTTGCAATGTTTTTATTATATCGTATTGGTCAACAACAAGTTGTGACGAAAATTTCGTCAGAAATTAATCTTTCAAAATAATCGATATTTTGTTTATATAGAAATTTATCGGAATTCCATATAATTAAGATCAATAACGAACACTATCTTTTATTTTCTATTGAAGACAAATATTTGATATCTTTTTACGCATATATATTTTTTTGTTTTTTTCACACACATAATAAACGAGATAAAATAATTTTTTTTTATATAAAAATAAATATATAAATTGTATATACAGTCAAACCTCCTATAACGATGTAAGTGCGTTCCGCGTTATAAGAAATTGGGATTTAACCGTACAAACCAAGCTAATTTGTAGCGCGTTGTATGGAAACCGGCTACCGCGTTGTATGGAAACAGCGCTATAAGAAACACAGATTTTAGTACAAATCACATCATTCGTACCGCGTTATATGGAGACCAAAATATACAAAAGACAAGATAAATTAT